CTTTGTTATGCCAATTGACCTAGACGTCCCCTGAAACCATGGTCCCCAAATCCCCGCCCCTGCTACTCTGTCCCTTGAAGTGTTGGGTTGTATTCAGGAAATTTCCTAGCTTTTGGTTTAGCCCAGTTGTGCTGACTTCCCACGTATTGTGTGTTGTCCTTCCCTTCACCTAATTCTTGTCTACTATCTAGTTAATGAATACCCTTCTCCCTCCCTCCCCACCCTCATAACAATCAAAGAATGTTTTCTCCTGTGTTTAAACCTTTTCTTGAGTTCTTGTAAGAGTGGTCTTATACAATATTTGTCCTTCTGTGACTGACTAAACTCACTCCGCATAATGCCTTCTAGATTTCTCCACGTTATAAGATGTTTCACAGATTCATTGTTGTTCTTTATCGTTGCGTAGTATTCCATTGTGTGAATATACAACGATTTGTTTATCCATTCATCCATTGATGGGCACCTAGGTTGTTTCCATCTTTTTGGTATCATGAACAGTGCTGCAATGAATATGGGTGTGCATATATCTATTTGTGTGGCGGCTCTTATCTCTCTAGGATATATTCCAAGGAGCGGGATTGCTGGATTGTATGGTACTTCTATTTCTAGCTTTTTAAGGAAGCGCTAAATCGATTTCCAAAGTGGTTGTACCATTTTACATTCCCACCAACACTGTGTAAGTGTTCCAGTCTCTCCATAACCTCTCCAACGTTTATTAATTTTTGGATTAATGCTAGCCTTGTTGGGGTGAGAAGGTATCTCATTGTAGTTCTGATTTGCATTTCTCTAATGGTTAATGATCATGAGCATTTCCTCATGTATCTGGTGGCTGCCTGAATGTCTTCTTTGGTGAAGTGCCTGTTTATATCCTTTGCTCATTTTTTAAATTGGGTTATTTGTCTTTTTGTTATTGAGGTTTTGCATTATCTTGTAAATTTTAGAGATTAGACCCTGATCGGATTTGTCGTAGCCAAAATTTTTTCCCAGTCTGTAGGTTGTCTTTTTACTCTTTTGGTGAAGTCTTCTGATGAGCATAAGTGTTTGATTTTTAGAAGCTCCCAGTTATCTAGTTTCTCTTCTGGTGCTTGTGTGTTGTTACTTATGGTTTGTATTCTGTTTGTGCCATGTAGTAGGGCTCCTAGCATTGTCCCTATTTTTTCTTCCATGATCTTTATCATTTTAAAATCTTATATTTAGGTCTTTGATCCATTTTGAGTTAGTTTTTGTGCATGGTGTGAGGTATGGGTCTTGTTTCATTTTTTTGCGGGTGGATATCCAGTTATGCCAGCACCATTTGTTACAGAGACTGTCTTTTCCCCAATTAACGGACTTTGGGCCTTTGTCAAGTATCAGCTGCTCATCAGTGGATGAATTTATCTGGATTCTCAATTCTGTTCCATTGGTCTATGTATCTGTTGTTGTACCAGTACTAGGATGTTTTGACTACCGTGGCGGTATAATAGTTTCCAAAATCAGGTAGTGTGAGGCCTCCCACTTTGTTCTTGTTCTTCAGTAACGCTTTACTTATCCGGGGCCTCTTCCCTTTCCATATGAAGTTGGTGATTTGTTTCTCCATCTCATTAAAAAAGTCATTGGAATTTGGATTGAATCAAGTCTTTCTTGAAGCAGTGTTGTATGCTGAGGTTTTTTGAGTCTCTTTAGGGACGAAAATGAGCGTACCGTTGTGAGTTTATGATCATTAAATTTAGTAATATGCATAAAGCAATTTCAACCTTGTATTTTATCTTCTATTATGGAATCTTACATGCCTACATGAGTAAGATCTCTCCTTCCTGAATCTGTAAACTTAGTTCTCATGTAAGGATGAAATTGTCACACTTCTCCAAAGGTTTCTATTTAAGTCATTGGGATAAGCTTGCACAAATTTCTTGGATTCCTTTGTGCATTCTTCGTCAGGTATATCCACATTGTTTAAGAAGGAACATCTATCTGAAAGAACTTCATACACCTTTGCCCTTCTTTTCATGCAAGATTCAAGTGTGTCAGTAATGGTGTCAGTCACACAAAATTGACCTCTGGCACTCAGTGATACTTGGAGCACTTCCGTCATTTACTTGTTTCTTTCCAATGCTTCTGCTGCAAAAGACCTCTTTAACGTGTTAAAAAGCAATGATGTCACCTTGAAGACTAAGGCGCACCTGACCCAAGCCATGGTGTTTTCAGTCGCCTCATATGCATGCAAAACCTGGACGATGAATAAGGAAGACTGAAGAATTGATGCCTTTGAATTGTGGCATTGGTGAAGAATATTGACTATCCCACGGACTGCCAGAAGAACAAACAAATCTGCCTTGGAAGAAGTACAACCAGAGTGCTCCTTAGAAGCAAGCATGGCGCGACTTCATCTCACCTACTTTGGACATGTTATCAGAAGGGACCAGTCCCTGGAGAAGGACATCATGCTTGGTAAAGTAGGGGGTCAGCGAAAAAGAGGAAGACCCTCCACGAGATGGATTGACACAGTGGCTGCAACAATGGGCTCAAGCAGAGCAACGATCGTGAGGCCGGCACAGGACTGGGCAGTGTTTCGTTCTGTTGTATATGGGGTCGCTACGAGTCAGAACTGACTTGACAGCACCTAAGAACACCAACAACAATGCACCTGTGATGGTGAACTGCTTGAGAATCAGTATTTGACAGGATTTGTTTTGTTGTGTTTTCAAAATTTTGTCTTAAATTATGTAAATACCCTGTTAATGACTGGAAGAGATCCGTGCAGGTCTTTCAATTTACTCCTGAATCTTGGAAAGCTTGACTCGTCTAATGAAAATACTACAATATACTATTCCATGTAACCAACATAAATACATACTCTTGTGTTTGCATTTTGTTGGTGATGTTTTCAGCTCCTCTTTTGGGATCTCCTTTTTGTGTCCGGCCTTCAGCAATATTGTCTAAGGCATCTAGAATTTGAGTGTATGATTCCAGGATTGCACTCATTGCCACAGCATGCGCTTCCCAACGTGTCTTAGAAAGACATTTTAAAACTCGGTCATGGCCTAAATATCGTTCAAGAAATCCCCAGTGGTGAGTTAGAGGCAGTCAAAAAACGTGTAGAGTGACTGAACAGTGGGAAAACAAATGAACTGCTTCCAGACAACAATCTGCTGCACTGTGTCCTTCAAGATAAGTGAATGTGCAGCACGTGGTATGAAAATGGCATTTTCATTACGTTCTAAAATTTTCTGTTGCGTGTCTTTATAACACCTTGACGTATGGGCAGCATTGTCATAGGCTGGCCTCTGCACTTAGAAAAATCAATTTTGCAAACTGCACATAAGTAGTGAAGCACTTGATCTGCAATTTCGTCACCAGTATGACTTTTTAGGCTCGTAAATGTGATAAATTGCTCGACAGGTTTTCTATCTGTTAGAGATACGTATCTTAAAATACTTAGCTGATCTGTCTGAGAAAGATCCGGAGTGGAATCTAAGACCAACTGAAATATTGAGCTATACTTATTTCACTGAAACTAGTTGATCAAACTTTATCACTTATTAAATTTATTAATTCTTCATACCTTGTTTTAGACATATACGACGGGTTGCCCTTTCCTGTAGTACCATGTTTTGAGATGTGACCTGTTAAAAACGGAACAAACTGAGCAACAAGTTCAAGTAAACCCCCAAAGTTTCCATGTTGTGGGGACCCAAACCCTTCTTTTCTTTCTCAAAAAGATAGTCCACATTCAGCGACTGTTATAATGACAGCAACAACGCGTTGCAAAAGGACTTCCCAGTACTGACATTCTTCATTAATGTGTGTTTCTAGTTCATGAGTTAAGCCAAAACCATGTCTTTGGCTTAAATATGACAACATACAATCTCTGTGAATTGAACTGTTTTCAGGTTTCTCAATCATTCGAGTTGCACCAATCACTAAATCCATCCATAGCAAATTGAGGATTAAATAATTTAGGACTGAATAGTTTGCAAACAAAACAATACACAGAGCTGATTGATGGAGAATACAGAATACACTCCCTCTTATAATTTTCAGCATTAGCTTTGCACCCGAGAAGTATATCCTGGCTACAGAATCTTGTTTGTTTGCCATCCAGAAATTTTCGACATGAATTTTCAAATGGTCCACTGTGATGCTGAAGTCACTTGGCCCTCACTTGGTTAGCAGGCAAGTGCTTAACTGCTGCACCACCAGGGATCGGGGTGGGAAGGGCTCTGAATTAATCCAATTACTGTAAAATGGTTGGGTGCTGAATGGTGGTACTACCTTCTCCCTTTTTATTCATATTCTTCTTTCTGCCTGCCCCCCTCGGTTCTTAGTTTTATAATCCTTCCTCCTATTTCTTCCCTTTTTGTATTCTCCAGAAAGATGTGTTGAAGTCTTAAGTCCCAAAACCTGTGAATGTGACCGTGTTTGGAAATAGGGTCTTTGAAGATGTTATCAGTTAACCTGAGGTCATACTGGGGTCGGGTGGGTCCTAATCCCATCTGAGTAGTGTCTTATAAAGGAGAAGAGACACAGAGAGACACAGAAGGGAGATGGCCATGTAATGATACATCTCCAAACCAAGGATTGCCAGCTGTCCCCAGAAGCCAGGAGAGACACATGGAACAGTTCCTCCCTCAGAAGGAATCAACAGGGCTCCCAGGCTCCAGAATTGAGCTAGTACCAGCTGCTGTCAAGTCGACTCCGACTCATGGCGACCCCATGTGTGTCAGAGTAGAACTGTGCCCCATAGTAGAACTGTGCCCCGTTTTCAATGGCTGAGTTTTTGGCAGTCGATCACCAGGCCTTTCTTCCAAGGCACCTTTGAGTGGACTTGAATGGACAACTTCTCGGTTAGTAGCCGAGTGCTTAACCGTTTGTGCCAACAGGGATTCCCTTCAGAACTTAGAATAAATTTCTGTTCTAATAAGCCACCCAGTTTGTGGTACTTTTTCACAACAGGCCTATGAAACACACCCCCACACCCACACCCACACCCCCACACGCACACACAAGTTCTTAGCTGCACGTGTAATTTATTAAGACAATACTGGAAGGAAGCATCAAGGCACTTGAACATGCTGGGCAGGCTGCCCCCCCCCCTTTCTGCTCTAGAATATGTCTCAGCAGCTTCATTGTGCCCCCCATCCCCCGGGAGGCCACTTCTCACATGGGAAGTTGAAGTTCCATTAGCTTAAGGCTAATACCTGGGGCCTTGAAGTAGAAAAGGAAGAATATAAGAACCACACCCCTGATTTTTCACAAAACAAAATTTGGGGGGACCTGGTATCTAGAAACTTCACCCTAATTGCTGACAGAAGGGGAGGCTCAGAACATGCTTCCTCCAAGCTCAGAGAGGGTGAAGGGGATGAGCTGAGTTGGGCCTCAGTTTTGAGAACCTTAGCTTCTCACATTGGCAGCTGGGATGAGTGGTTAGAAAAGCTGTTTCCCAAAAGAGCTGCTGGTGGTGGAATCGAGTGCTGTAGCTGGCTCCCGGGAAGGGACGGAGCCCCCAAGCCCCCTCCTCTCCCTACTTCTTCTCTTCCGGGGCTTTCTCAGTGATCCCGGGGGTGAAGGGTCCCACCAGCCACATGATGGGGGTGTTCTGGGCCACGTACTCGACCATCTCATCAAGGGCATCGCGGGCCTTGGTGACCCGCTCACGGCTTTGGGTCAGGATGGTACTGGACAGGTCCTGGAAGGAGTGGATACCAGAGAAGGTGGCCTGGAGGTCCTCCACCTGGCGGCGAGCCTGCTGGGCCTTGTCCTTGACGTTGGTGGGCAGGCCCTGGAGGCTGGATGCCAGTGAGGCGCAGGTGGCCTGCAGCTGCTGGGTAATGTCCCGGAACATGGTGAGTGCCTGGGACTCGACCTGCTGGGGAGGGAGAGTGGGGGACAGTCAGAACCATTGGGTTTGGGGCCACAGGACCAGAAGCCAAGGAAAAGCAAACAGGGGTTCTAGAGCTGACCTTCGGGAAAGTCCTTCCAGAGCAAGACTGTCTAAAATGGGGGTTAATAATACCAGCTCTTTCCTTATCCATTGCTGGTAGGATTGTAAAATGGCACAGTCACTGTGGGAAACAGTTTGGCAGTTCCTTAAAAAGTTAAACACAGAATTATCATATGATCCAGCAATTCCGCTCCTAGGTATAGACCCAAAAGAATTAAAAGCAGAAATGCAAACAGATACTTGTACAACTGTGTTCACTGTAGCACCATTCACAATAGTCAAAAGGTGGAAACAGCCTAAATGGCCGTTGACAGACGAATCGGTAAACAAACTGTGCATATATATGATAGCGTATTACTCAGCCATAAAGAGAAACCAAGTTTGGAAACACTGTTAGTTGTTGTTAGTTACTGTCCAGACGATTCTGTCTCATGGCGACCCCACGTGTGCAGGGTAGAACTGCTTCGTAGAGTTTTCAAGGCTGTGACCTTTTGGAAGCAGATCACCAGGCCTGTCTTCCGAGGTGCCTATGGGTGGGTCTGAACCAACCTTTTGGCTAATAGTTGAGCGCTTAACCATTTGTACTACCCTGGAACTCCTTGAAAACATGATGAGCGAAATAAGTCACAGAAGACAATTATTGTACGATCCCACTCACATGGAATATCTAGAATAGGCAAATACGTAGAGACAGAAAGTAGATTAGTGGCTGCTTAGGGGTTGTGCAATGGTTAAACACCTGGCTGCTAACTAAAATGTTGACAGTTCAAACCCACCCAGCGGCTCCTTGGGAGAAAGACATGGCAATGTGCTCCGATAAAGATCACAGCCTAGGAAACCCTATGGGGCAATTCTACTCTGTCACATGAAATCCCTATGAGTCAAAATTGATTTGATGGCAGCCACCAACAACAACAATAGGGGTTGGGGGAGAAGGAAGAATGAGGAGTGACTGTTAATGGGTGCGGGGTTTCTTTTTAGGATGATAAAAACGTTCAAAATCGACTAGTTATAATTACATAACGCTGTGAATATACTAAAAACCAACGAATTGTACACTTTAAATGAGTGAATTGTATCGTGTGTGAATTATGTCTCAATAAAGCTGTTATTTAAGAAGGAAGGAAAGAAAGGAAGGAAAGAAGAGAAGGAAAACAAGAAGCACTTGTCAGGGGGAAGGTCAGGAAGAACTTTCTAGGCAAAAGTAGTAAACTATTGAGCAAGAACGCAGTTCAGATCAGGTCCTTCAAAATTCCCCCAGAGAGAGATAAGAGGGGGCTGGGAGTTCTATCAGCTGAGGACTTTGGACTTGAACCTATGGGTGGCAGGAAGGTGCCGACATAGGTGAGTTCAGATCTGCTTTGCTTGTTTGAGAGGTTCTTCCGGCTGCTGTACTCCGCAGGAGGGGGCATTGGAGATATTAGGTGGCTCAGGTCTGCATGCTGAACAGTTTTGCACTTATAAAGATAATGTAACATCTTTTTAAACATCACTTTTGTAGCCCTTACTATGTGCTTTGCGTATCAATCCAGTTAATCTTTTAAAAACTGAGATATAATTCACATACCATAAACTCACCCTTTTAGTGCACAATTCATTGTGTTTTAGTAAATTCACAAGGTTATGCAACCCTCACCACTATCTAATTCAAGAACAGTTTCAGCAGGTCCAAAAGAAGCCTTCTACCCATTAGCAGTCACTTTCCATTCTTCCCTCACCCCCTAATCTCTAGGCAACCACTAATCTACTTCCTGCCTTGATGGATTTGTCTGTTCTGGACACGTCAACTAAATGGAATCACACAATATTTGTCCTTTTGTGACTGGCATCTTTCACTCAGCATAATGTTTTCAAGCTCCATCCACACTGTAGCATGTATTGGAACTTCATTTCTCTTTATGGCTGAGTAATATTCCACAGTATGCATGGACCACATTGTGTTTATCCATTCGTCCACTGATGGACATTTGGGTTGTTTCCACTTTTTGGCTATTGTGAACAGTGCTGCTATGAACATGTGTGTACACATTTAACTTGTGGAATCTTAATGACCCTCTAGCAGGGGAAACCAAGGACCAGAGAGGTTAAGCTGAGAATCTATAGTGTTAGCACAGACCTAACCTTAAGGGAGTATCATCCAAAATGAGGCATAAGATGTTGATTTAAGGCAAGATTAATTGAGTGGCAGTATAGGTGGCAAAAGGTGTCAGACCAGGACATGAAAGGCCGATGCTCGGGACAGACTGGAAGAAGCCAGGGAAGGTTCATTAGAAGTTGTTCCAAAGAAAAGAAGAGTCCAAAGGACTAATGGATCACAACTACCACAGCCTCCACGAGACCGAGTCCAGCACAACTAGATGGTGCCTGGCTACCACCACCGACTGCTCTGACAGGGATCACAATAGAGGGTCCTGAACAGAGCTGGAGAAAAATGTAGAACAAAATTCTAACTCACAAAAGAAGACCAGACTTACCGGTCTGACAGAGACTGGAGAAACCCTGAGAGTATGGCCCCCACTTATAGCTCAGTAATGAAGTCACTCCTGAGGTTCACCTTTCAGCCAAAGATTAGACAGGCCCATAAAACAAAAGGAAACTAAATGGGAACACCAGCCCAGGGACAAGGACTAGAAGGCAGAAGGGGACAGGAAAGCTGGTAATGGGGAACCCAAGATCAAGAAGATCAAGAAGGGGAGAGTGTGGACATGTTGTGGGGTTGTTAACCAATGTCATAAAACAATATGTGTACTAATTGTTTAATGAGAAGCAAGTTTGTTCTGTAAACCTTCACCTAAAGTACAAAAAAAAAAAAAAAAAAAAAGAACTTGTTGTTCCAGAGACCCAGGTGGGTGAGTCCAGAGGCTTTGATGGAACACTGGCACAGAAAAGACAAGAATTCGAGATCCAAGATAAAGAAGACATGGCTTGGAATTTAGCAAGTTGAAACACATAAAAATTTGCCTCTAGGAGGCTAGATGAGCCCCTGAAGCTATTATCCTGAGATAATCTTTAAACCTTAAACCAAAAATATCCCTTAAAGTCATCAAACATTAATTTTGCTTAACCAGTAAAGAATGTCTGCCTTGAGCATTGTGCTCTTTTAAGATCTATTTATATGGGATTGTTATGGATTGAATTGTGTCCCCCAAAAATGTGTGTCAACTTGGCTAAGCCATGATTCCCAGTATTGATTGTCCACCATTTTGTGATCTGATGTGATTCTCCTATGTGTTATAAATCCTAACCTCTATAATGTTAATGAGGCAGGACTCAATCTACAGGATTAGGTTGTATATCGAGTCAATATCTTTTGAGATATAAAAGAGAGAAGCGAGCAGAGAGGAGGAGGACCTCCTACCACCAAGAATGAAGAACTAGGAGGGGAGCATGTCCTATGGACCCAGGGCCCCTGTGCTGAGAAGCTCCTAGACCAGGGGAAGATTGATGACAAGGACCTTCTCCCAGAACTGACAGAGAGAGAAAGCCTTTCCTTGGAGCTAGCACCCTGAATTTGGACTTCGAGCCTCCAAGACTGTGAGAGAATAAATTTCCGTTTGTTAAAGCCATCCACTTGTGGTGTTTCTGTTATAGCAGCACTAGATGACTAAGACAGGGATCAAGTTGACAATAGCAACTTGAAAGACTGGATAGGAAGCTTGGGGAGCAGCAAGTTTATGTTCATGGGGGAGGAACAATTCGGAAAAAGAAGGTGAGAATGGTTGTACAACTTAAAGAATGTAATCAGTATTACTGAACAGTATACGTAGAAATTGTTGAATTGGTGTATGTTCTGCTGTGTATATTCCCAACAAAAACAACAAAAAAATACAAGAATTTTTAATTGTCCCAAGGAACAGGAGAGGGGGAGTTTTTGCTTAGGGGGCAATGAGTTTATGTTCATGGTGGTGAAAATATTTGGAAAAGGATAGCAAGAATGGTTGTACAACTTGAAGAATGGAGTCAATGTTACTGAATTGTACGGTAGAAATCGTTGAATTGGTGTATGTTTTGTTATGTATATTCCCACCACAATAAAATATAAAAAAAAAATCTGCTTGGATTCTGATTCACGTCACTATCAAGTGTCCCATGGTTCAGAAGCAACACCCACAAGGAGTAGAAATCAAGACAGGCTTCCTGGAGGAGGCGTCACTGCATCTGAAAGCAGTTAGCAAGAGGCGAGGCTAGGGAAAGTGTTCCAGGTAGGTGGGCCCGGTGAGCAGAGTCCTGGAGAGTGAAGTTAGAAGCCCCAAGCACCCTCTCCGCTACCCCTGGGGTGTACCTCTGGCTTCGCTGGGTCCTTCTCGGTCTCCTTGAGCTTCTTCTGGTTCCAGCTGAGCCACATCTGGTGTAGCTTCTCCTGACCCTCCACCAGCTTCTGATCTACTCCCTGCTTGACAGTTTCCATCTGGAGCAGGAGACAGCAGCAATGGAGGCTCCTATTAGCACTTCCCCTAAAGCCGGCAGAGACCCTGCACGTCCCAGGAGAGGTGGGATTCCAATAGGCGGCCAGGAAGTCCTTCTTTTATCTGACTTATGAGACATCCAGGTGTCTGCGTGGTACAAGTAATTTGAGCTCGACTGCTAACCTAAAGGCTTCCCATAACTGTGGTGGAATGGCTCTGTGGACTTCGGTTTAATCACCAACTCACTCATGGCCTGTGTGGTCATTGCAAAGAAGGCAGCCACAAATTCTCTGCAGCTCTTCCCACAAATCAATTTCTCCACCCTTGTAACCTGACTTGGCCAATGGGACATGAGCAAATGGAACACAAGCAGAAGCCTAAAAAGCGCCTGTGCATTGCAACTTGTTTGCTCTTGCTGCACCTGGAACCCTTAAGCCGCCGCTACCACTGTGTGAAAGAGCCTCAGCTAGCCTGTTGGAGAAGGAGACCCTACAGAGACACCCAGCCTCGAGCCAACCCTCAGCACTGCAAGAAATAAATCACTGGAATTTTAAGCTGCTAAATTCTGGGACTGTTTGTTACACAGCAGACACTGACTGATAACCTGCTGTTGCACCCCCAGCTGCAGAGGGCCTCACCAGGCTGAGGGCCTGTGACAGCTGCAGCAGGGCATCCTGGGCCCTCTGCCTGGTGTGCTGCAGCTTGCTCAGGGAGTGCTGGTAGGCGTGCTGGCGCAGCCGTGACGAGAGTGAGCCCAAGCGCACGAAGTAGCTCTGCTCCTGCCGCTGCTGCTGCACTGAGGCCATGTCAAAGCCCTCCAGGGACGTGGCGATGTGGGCTGCAAGGGGGGAAAGGAGAAACACCACATAAAGTTCAGAAAGCCAGCAGGGCAGCTCAGGAGCCGACAGCATGCAGCCTCTGGAATCGCACTGCCCAGGTTTATACCCTGGTTCTGCCACTCACAAGGAGCCCTGGCGGTGCAAACGATTAAGCCCTTGGCTGCTAACCGAAAGGTCGGCGGTTCAAACTCACCTGGTGCCTCCACGGAAGAAAGGCTTGGCAATCTGCTCTCGTGAAGATTACACCCTAGGGGCAGTTCTGCTATGGGGCAGTTCTACTCTCTCATATGGGGTTGCTGAGTACAAATTGACATGACAGCACCCAACAACTGCATTCTGCTGTTCCCAAGCTGTGAAGCTGTGGGCCTGTGTCTTCCCCAACCGCAAACCAGGAAGGACAGGAACTAGACCTGATAGGGTTAGGAGGTCCAAGCCTAGTGTGCAGTGGTGGGTCCGTGGTAGGACACTTTCCATATAGGAGACCCGGGTCTGATTCCCACCCAGCGCAGCTCGTGCGCGGCCACCACCCGTCTGTTGGTGGAGGCTTGTGTGCTGCTAGGTTGCTGAACAGGTTCCAGCGGAGCTTCCAGATTAAGACAGACTAGGAAGAAAGGCCTGGCAATTGACTTTCAAACATCAGCCAATGAAAACCCCATGGAGCACAACTGTCTAATCTGCAAGTGATCATGGGGAAGGTGCAGGACCGGGCAGTGTTTTGCTCTGTGCCTGGAATTTCCGTGAGTCAGGAACCAACTCAATAGCAGCCAACGGCTCTGCAACAACAGCAGCCTAGTGTGAGGGTTTGCAAACGACGGCCCGTGGGCCAGATCCCCTCACCGGCTGGTTTGCACAAGCTGTGAAGACAGCTGCACACACTCACCGCGCATTGTCTACAGCTGCCTACAAACGACAAGGGAGGCCTCTTGGGCCACTGTTGTTAGGTGTCATCTCACAGTGACCCCATGGGACCTGTCCAATAGGGTTTTCCTGGCTGTCATCTCTATGGGAGCAGATTGCCAGGTCTTTCTCCTGCGGAGCCGCTGGGTGGGTTCGAATGGATGATCTTTTGGTTAGTGGATAAGTGCTTAACCTTGTGCCGCTGGGGCTCGTGCGGGGCCTAACATATTTATCATCTAGCCCTTTATGGAAAAATCCTGCCGATCCTCAATTACCGATGGCACACAGCAATAGTGGTCACATTTTATCACTGTTCTAGGTGCTTCGCTGGCCAGGCAGGAAGAGGAAGCCCCTCAACGAGAGGGACTGACGCAGGGCTGCAGCAATGGGCTCAAGCACAACAATGATTGTGAGGATGGCGCAGCACGGGGCAGTGTTTCCTTCTGTTGTACGCGGGGTCGCTCTGAGTCGGAACCGACTCGATGGCACCTAACAACAACAACAACAGGTGCTTCACGCTCATTGTTGTTAAATCCTAACAACCCTATGAGGGGGGTACCATTATCCCATTTTACAGATGAGGAAACAGGCTCAGAGAAGTTAAGCGACTTGCCCAAGGTCACACAGCTAGGAAGTGGCAAGCTAGGATTTGAACCCAGGCTGTCCAACTGGAGAAGCCTGAGCCACACGAGAATCATCCTGACAGCGCTTAAGGAAAAGGCTGAGCTATCTAGACCAGAAAGGGCTTGTGAAGTTAGAAGACAATAAGCTGGAAAATTGCCTATACTGATCATTTTATCCTGCTCGCGTTAAGTTTGAACTTGGTCAATAACCTGATCTGGGTTCAAATCCAGCCCTACTAACTCCCTGGCGCTGTGATGCACTAGGGCGAGGGTCAGCCAGCTATGACCCACAGACAGCGTGCCACCTGGTTTTTTGTTGTTGTTTTAAATAATTTATTTTTTGTGCCACTGGGACTATATACACTGCAAAAACATACACCAGTTCAAGCTTCTACGCCGATCACGCTCTTCAACTTGGGCAACCATTCTCACCCTCCTTTTCCGAGTTGTTCCTCCCCCATTAACATAAACTCACTGCCCCCTGAGGTTCCTTTCTCATCTTTCCAGTTGCTGATGTCAATTTGATCCAATATAGCTAGATCTCAAAAGAGCAAAAAGCTGATTAGACAGGCCCATAAAACAAACAATAATACACACGGATACGAGACTCAATGGGCACACCGGCTCAGGCGCAAGGACGAGAAGGCAGAAGGGGACAGGAAGGCTGGACGAATGGAAATGGGGAACCCAAGGTTGAGAAGGGGAGAGTGTTGACTCGTCAAGGGGTTGGCAGCCAGTGTCACTAAACAATATGTGTATTAATTGTTCAACGAGAAAGTGATATGCTCTGTAAACCTTCATCCAAAGCGCGCGCGCACACACACACGCACAAAGAGCACAATGCTCAAGGCAGACATTCTTTACTAGTTAAACTAAAATATTATTTGGCTTTAAGATGGCTTCAGGGGATATTTTTGTTTAAGGTTTAAAGATTATCTCAGGGCAATAGTTTCAGGAGTTCATCTACCCTCCATGACTCCAGAAAGACTGAATTCCGTGAGAATGCTGCCTATTTTTGTAAATAAAGTTTTATTGGCACACAGTCACATCCATTGGCCTCCTTGTTGTCTATGGGTGCTTTCATGCTATAATGACAGAGCTGCGTAGTTGCAACAGGGGCCTTCTGCCTGCAGAGACGAGAATATATACTATCTGGTCCTGTAAGAAAATGTTTGCCACCCTCTGATCTCTGGGAATGCAATTTCACCATCGAGCCTCAGTTTCCCCCTCTGTACGACCACACCAGTCAGGGCTGCCTAAAAGGTGATATGTGGACCACCTGGTGCCTGTAAAAGCACACAAATGAACAGTTAGCTTTTTATTTTGTGTATTTATAGAAGATGACAGTCCCTGGGTGATGTAAAAGGTTAATAAGGCACTCAGCTGCTAACTGAAAGGTTGGAGATTTGAGTCCACCCAGAGGCGGTTCAGAAGAAAGCCCTAGTGATCTGCTTCCGAAAAATCAGCCACTGAAAACCCGATGGAGCACCGTTCTTCTCTGACACGCAGGGGGTCGCCATGAGTCGAGATCAACTCAACAGCAACTGGTTTTTTTTTTTTTTTTTTTTTTTTAATATCAGAAGACACAGCTTTCTATATATAGCACTGACAAAGTTTCCTTTCTAAAAGAATCCAAAAAAGTTGATTTAATAGAAGGCTGTCAAATAAACGGAGCCCTGGTGGTGCAGTGGTTAAGAACTACAGCTGCTAACCAAAAGGTCGGCAGTTCAAATCCACCGGTCGCTCCTTGAAAACCTGCTGGGGCACTTCTACTCTGTCCTATAGGGTCGCTATGAGTCGGAATCGACTCGACAGCAACGGGTTTGGGTTTGGTATCAAGTAAGCAGTACAGGATGATTGAGGTCATGGGAGAGATTTCTCTGGCCAGGCAGGACCAGGAAACCATCGTGAGGATTAAATAAGATCTCAATTTTAGCCACATACTTATTTGGGCTTCTCCTCTGGGTCACACACAATTCTGGAAATGGAAGACAGTGATGAACAAAACAACGAAATCCCAGGTATGCAGTCAACACATGGCCCAGCCAAGGTAAACCTTGAGTAACGGGAATTTTGTTGTTTGCTGAACATTGTGAAATTCTGGAAGAATTTTCTAATTCAAAGGTCAGCAACCTCTCTCTGTACAGGGCCAGAGCTCAATATTTTTGGCTTTGCAGGCTCTACTGTTTTTGTCTCAACTGGACTCAGCTACTGTAGCACAAGACAACCACAAACAATATGGAAATGAATGGGCATGGCTGTGTGCCAGTAAAACTTTATTTACATGGCTCTGTGGGCCTCGACTCAGGGGCTCATTGGCGCCCTCTGGCTGCTGCGGGAGAGAAAAATTGTAGGGTGTGAGGGTGGGAGCCAGGGGACCAGGGCAGAAGTGATTATACTGGTCCAGGTGGACAATGATGGGGCTGCACCAGATAGAGGAAGAGGAGGGAGAAGTGGGCGGATTCTTACGAAAAGGCAGCATTTAAACAAAGAGCAAGCCCTTGAAAGGATGGCAGAAGAGCATTCCAGAGGGCATAGTCCATGCAAAGGCCCTGAGGCAGGACCAGGCCTGGTGAGTTGGAGGAACAGTGAGGAGGCCCCTGTAGCTGGAGTGGAGTGAGTGAGGGGGACAGAGGAGGAGCAGACGGCAGGGAGGGGACGGGGCAGGTCGTGCAGGGCCCTGTGGGCTGTGGGGAGGATTTAGGCTTTTACCCTAGGGAGGTGGGAGCCCTGGAGGGCTGTGAGCAGAGGAGGGGTGGGCCCTGACTCAGCTGCTCACGGGCACCCTCTGGCTGTTGAGGGGAGGACAGACTGGGGAGATGAGGGTGGGAGACCAGGGTGGAGGTGACGGCACTGGTCCAGGTGAGGATGATCGGGCCGGACCAGGTGGAGGTGAATACTCTAGTCCAGGTGAGCAATGATGGGGGCTACAGAGGACATGGAAGGAGATGGCAGGGAGTGAGAGACACACTCTAAATGGCCGAGAGAGGCCCCTAGGCAGGAAGTATGGAGAAGGGACCCCAAGGGGCACTCACCCAGTTCCTCGTCCGTCATGGGCAGATGGTTGTCCACCCATTCCTCCGACCTGCCCAGCACCGTGTCGACCCCGCTCAGGACCATCTGACCCATGCGGGATTCCATGACAGAATGGACACCACTGGTCACCACAGACTTGGTCATGTCCACACTGCTCTGCACGGTGCCCCGGGTCACGTCCACTGCCTCCGTCACTCGGGTGGCCACGGTGTCCTTGGCGTTGGACACGGTGTTGGACACCATCTCTCGGGCACCTGACATTGTAGACGAGATGAGCTCCTTGGTGTCTGCCAGCACCTAGGGGACAGCAGGCATCAGCATCTCTGCCCTCAGTACCTCCTGCCCTGCACCCCAACCTCCAGGGAGGCCAGACAGAGGAGTTCCATCTGCCGGGTGACTCCATAGGGTGAAGATTGAGTCTGCCGTCACGGTTAAGACCATGCGCTCTGGAGCCAGACGCAAGTACCCGTGGCCATTGAGTTGACTCAGACTCATGGCGACCTCGTGTGTCGGAGTAGAACTGTGCTCCAAAGAGCTTTCAGAAATAGATCTCCAGGTCTTTCTTCCGAGGCACCTCTGGGTAGACTCAGACCGCCTACTTTTTGGTTAGCAACCAAGTGCATCGACCATTTGCAGTATGCAGGGACTCCTCATCACTTACAGTACATATCAGCCTGGAGCAGCCACACACCACAGTGCTCATCAACCACGTGTGGCTAGTGTCCACCGTACTGGACAGCACAGCCTGAGACTGTCAGCTTCGGAGGCTGGAGGGGGGTCCTTTCATTTTTTTTCTCAGCACCCAACACAGTGTCTGAAACACAGTAGGCACTGAAGAGACGTTTGTTGATTGAATAATAAAAATAAGGTTCCTATCTCATGCTTCTGGGCCTGACACTGTGCTAGACACATTACCTGTATCATTTCATCTAAGCCACACGGCTACCTGTGAAGGAGGTACCCAGTGCCCAGGGTACTGAGACTCAGAGAGGTGGGAGCCAGGCAGCCCGGGTTCAAATCCCAGGCTTGATACTTCCTCGCTGTGTGGCCTCAGGTAATTTACTTGACCTCTCTGTGCCTCTGTCTCTTCAACCCATGGTTAGAGCAGTGCTTGGCTCCAGCGCTCAGTAAGCATGACAGCAGAAACTAAGGCTGCTGTTGAGCCAGAACCACACCAATCAGTCAGTAAGGAGCAGAACCCTAGCCAGGTGTTTATCCCACGTACTAATTAAGTCCCTTAGAGCAGGGAGGCTCAACGGGTGGCAGCTTTGTCCACCAGGGGACATGGGGCAATCTGGGGGGACACTTGTGGTTATCACAACTTTGGGGGATGATGCTACTGGAATCAAGTGGGTGGAGGCCAGGGATGCTGCTCAACACCCTACAGTGCACAGGACGACCCCACCCCAGAGAACGATCCAGCCCTCCTGTCAGCAGTGCCAAGTGGAGAGAACCTACTTTCTTACTTGGGGAAGAGAAACTGAGTTTAATCTCTGCTGACACCATCCGCCACAATAAACTCCTGCTGGGTCAGACGGCGTAAACCAGGTGACCCTCCAGCTCCTGTGGTTTCTCTCCTCTCTCCTCCCCACTCAGTGTGTGGATTTAAATGTGGGCAGCGTTCTAGGACGTCAGTAGGTCAGATGACTATGGGACGCAGAGTCTCTTAGGGGTCTGTTGTTGTTAGGTGCCGCCGAGTCGGTTCCTACTCACAGCAACCCTACGTACAACAGAACAAAAACACTGCCCGGTCCTGCGCCGTCCTCACAATCGTTGTTATGCTTATGTCACAGTTACTGTGTCAGTCCATCTTGTCATCTTCTGAGCGCCTTCCAACCTGGGGAGCTCATCTTCCGGCACGGTATCAGACAATGATCCGCTGCCATTCATCAGGTTTTCACTGGCTAATTTTTTCAGAAATAGATTGCTGGGTCCTTCTTCCTAGTTTGTCTTAGTCTAGAAGCTCAGCTGAAACTTGTCAACCATAGGTGACCCTGCTGGTATTTGAATACCGGTGGCAGAGCTTCCAGCATCACAGCAGCACACAAACCCCACAGTATGACAGACAGGCAGATGCGTAGGGGTTCGGGGGTCCGTGGGATACCCTAACCGAGGGGTGCTCACTCGGGGCTGATCCTGCTCCTAGGGGACACTTGCTGATGTCCGGGGACATTCGTGGTTGTCACTACCGAGAGGGGGTGTGAACGGCACTGAGTGAGTGGAGAAGACCCAGGGTGCTGGTCAACACCCTGCAGTGCCCAGGACGGCCCCACCCCAGAGAACAATCTGGCCCCAGCATCAGCAGTGCTAAAGGGGAGAAACTCTGTGTACTGGGTTGAATAGTGTTGCCCCAAAGTTCAGTTCGACTGGAACATGACCTTATTTGGAAATAGAGTCTTTGCGGATGTAATTAGCTAAGATGAGGTCACGCTGGGGAAAGGTGGGCCAATGACCGGAGCCCTTGTAAGAAGGTCGTGTGAATCCATTTGAAATACCTCAACATATTCAGGGATCTTATGAGCCTCCAGTTCTAGCTATGCATCCTGCTAGTCTATATCCTTAAAAAACAAATCTTACCTGGGATTTCACACCAAATAAAGGAGCAGTTTTGACACTAAAGGGCGTATACTTCAACACCATCTGAGAGATACACCTTTGGTTTAAAACACTGAATTCATCACAAATGAAGATCATCTCAAAATGCAGCCTCTCCAGATTGACCCTGACTGCTTTAGTTTCTTTCCCATTGCTTGCGTAGATAGCAATTAATACTTTTGAGTTAACGGTTTACCTTTTTTTTATAAACGTTGGGACAATTAAAGAAGATACAAATAAATGGAGTTATACCACGAGAAAAAAAAAGAAGGCCGTGTGAAGACACAGTGGCACACGGGGAGGATGGGCGGGTGAAGACAGAGGCATGCATCACAGTGATGCGGCCACAAGCCAAGGACACCAACATCGCCCGCAGCTCCGAGAAGCTAGAAGAGGCAAGGAAGGATTCCTCCCTACAGCCACTGGAGGGAGCCTGGCCCTGCTGACACCTTGATTTCACGCTTCCAGTCTCCAGATCTGTGAGAGACTAAATGTCCGTTGTTTTAAGCCACTTAACTTGTGCTTAAGGAGACTCGGTAGCGCGAACAGTTACGCACTTTGCTGCTCACAGAAAGGTTGATGGTTCGAACCCAACCAGCGGCTCTGTGGGAGAAAGACCTGGTGATCTGCTCCTGTAAAGATTACAGCCTAGAAAACCCTAGGGGGCAGTTCTACTCTGTCACATGTCAGTATGAGTCGGAATCGATTTGATGGCACCCAGCAACAGCAAGCTATTGTTTATTTGTTACGGTTGTTGTTGGGTGCTGATGAGTCGGTTCCAACTCATAGCGACCCCGTGTACAACAGAATGAAACACTGCCCGGTCCTGCGCCACGCTCAGTCGTTGTTATGCTTGAGGCCATTGTTGCAGCCACTGTGTCAATCCATCTTGTCAAGGGTCTTCCTCTTTTTCGCTGACCCTCTACTTTACCAAGCATGATGTCCTTCTCCAGGGACTGATCCCTCCTGATAACATGTCCGAAGTATGTGAGACGAAGTCTCACCATCCTCGCTTCTAAGGAAAATTCTGGCTGTACTTCTTCCAAGGCAGATTTGTTTGTTCTTCTGGCAGTCCATGGGATAGTCAATATTCTTCACCAACATCATGATTAAAAGGCATCAACTCTTCTTCAGTCTTCCTTAGTCATTGTCCAGCTTTCCCATGCATATGAGGCGACTGAAAACACCATGGCTTGGGTCAGGCACACCTTAGTCTTCAAGGTGACACCTTTGCTTTTCAACGCTTTAAAGAGGACTTTTGCAGCAGATGTGCCCAACGCAATGCATCGTTTGATTTCTTGACTGCTGCTTCCATGGGTGTTGATTGTGGATCCAAGAAAAATGAAATCCTTGACAACATCAGTCATTTCTCCGTTTGTCATGATGTTTTCGTTACATAGCCACGGGACGGGAAACTAACAGACCCAGCATTAGACACTCAGCGCTAGACTAAAACAATAAGGATTTTATGTACAGGTCCAAGTACCCAAACATTCTGGCTATAGAAAAATCCTTACACTCCCAAGAGTGAACGAGGAGCCAAATGTACCAAAATGTGCAAGTGTTTTGTGGATTTATTCTGGATGCCTGTATTGGAACATTAAGAGCAAACCCTTGGTACTTGGCCAAGCGCCGTTCGGAGCCTTCTTACACCTCACAAACGTCCAAGATGCAGGTTGTTGTCGCCGGGTGCGATCGAGTGGATTTCAACTCACGGCGCCCCCATGTGGCAGAGTAAAACTGCCCCACAGGGTTTCCTGGGCTAGTAATCTTTACGAGGAAGGAGCCCTGGTGGTGCAGTGGTTAAAGTGCTTGGCTGCAAACCGAAAGATCGGCAATTCGAACCTACCAGCTGCTCCGTGGGAGAAAAATCTGGCAATCTGCTCCCTTAAAAGTTACAGCCTTGGGAACCCCATGGGGCAGTTCTACTCTGTCCTATAGAGTCGCTATGAGTCAGAATCAACTTGATGGTGGTGGGTTTTTTTTGTTTAATCTTTGTGGGTGCAGACAGAGAGGTGTTTCTACTATGGAGACACTGGGTAGGTTCCATCCATCAACCTCTCAGTTAGCAGCCAAGTGCTTAACCATTGTGCCACCAGGGCTCCTTAAGATGCGGGTAGCATCCCCATTCTATAGAAGAGAAAGTAGGGCCGAGAGAGGCTAAGTAGCTTGTCTGAGGTTACCCAGCAACTAAAGGGCAGAATAGGTATTTGAACCTGGTATTTTGACTCTTAACGGCAGTGGTGGTTCCGTGGTAAAATTCTCATCTTCCATGCAGGAGACCCAGGTTCGATTCCCAGCCAGTGTACCTCATCCACAGTCACCACCTGGCTGTCAGTGGGGGCTTGCATGTTGCTAGGATGCTAAACAGGTTTCAGGGGAGCTTCCAGACTAAGACGGACTAAGAAGAAAGGCCTGGCAATCAACTTCCGAAAATCAGCCAATGAAAACCCTATGAATCGCAATGGTCTGATCCGCAACCGATCATAAGGATGGCGCAGAACCAGGCAGCATCTTGTCCTATTGTGTATGGGATTGCTATGATTCAGGGGCCGACTTGAGGACAGCTAACAACAATAATAATTTTGATTTTACGGCCTATCACCTTGACTGAAGGCGCCCTGGTGGTTAAAGTGCTCAGCTGCTAACTGAAAGGTTACTAGCTGCTTTGTGGGACAAAGATGTGGCAGTCTGCTTCTGTAAAGACTTACAGCCTTGGAAACCCTCTGGGGCAGTTCTACTGTGTCCTATAGAGTTGTTATGAGTTAGAATTGACTCAACAGCAATGGGTTTCGGTTTGAACCTCGACTGGTTAATAGAATTGTTATGGAGTCAGCAACTTTCTCCGTAAAGGGCCAGATAGTAAATATTTTTGGCTTTGCAGGTCTAGTAGGGTCTCTGTCTGTCTGTCAGACTCAACTCTGCCATCACAGTGTGAAAGCCACCAGAGATGTTAAAAATGGGCATAGCTGTGTGCCAATAAAACTTTATTTACAAACACAGGCAAAGGGCCAAATGTGGCCAGCAGGCCATAGTTTCCTGACCCCTGGAATAGCTTCTCATTGAATCCTTTGTGGAGAAGAGGCCCTAGAACACGTGGGTGGGATCATCAGTCACCACCTGCCATTCTTGAATCTGAGTTTTTAAGCAGCTTTCCATGTACCAAAAAACCCACTGCTGTTCAGTAGATTCCGACTCATAGTGACCCTATAGGACAGAGGAGAACTGCCCCATATGGTTTCTTAGGCTGTCATCTTTCTGGAAGTAGACTTCCACATCTTTCTCCCCCGGAGTGGCTTGTGGGTTTAGACAGCTGACCTTACGGTTAGCAGCCAAGGGCTTAACCACTGTGCCACCAGGGCTTCTACTTCCATGCATGCTGTTGTTCTTAGGTGCCGTCGAGTTGGTTCCGACTCACAGTGACCCTGTAGGACAGAGTAGAACTGCCCCATAGGGTTTCCAAGGAGCAGCTGGTGCATGGAACTGCCAACCTTTTGGTTAGCAGCTATAGCTCTTAACCACTGCACCACCAGGGCTCCTTCCATGCATAGGGTCCCTGAAAAATTAGACAGCCACCCCATTTTTTTCCTTCTGAGATGATGCCCCTCTGAACACCCAGCCTTCCTATACCCATGGGGTTGAGTCATTTGCGTGTATGTGGCAGGGGTGGGGCGGATAGCAGTCCCTGGGTGGTGCAAAGTTAGCGTGCTTGGCTGCTAAAGGAAAGGTTGGAGGTTCGAGTTCACCCAGAGGTGCCTCAGGAGAAAGGCCTGGTGGTCTACTTCCAAAAAATCAACCACTAAAAACCCTACGGAGCCAGCTCTCCTCTGGCACACATGGGGTCGCTGTGAGTTGGGGTAGACTCGACGGCAACTGGTACTGGAATGATTGTCAGGTGTTAACGTCAGCATAACTGAGCAATGGAGCATGGTCTAGCTCTCGCTGGCCCTGGTTCAAATCCCAGCTCTGCCTACATTGCTGTCCCACAGAACCTGGGGAAAGAAACGGCGCTGTCCCACCTCACAGGGCTCAGAACTGAGAGAGCATCGTGCCCTTCACAAAGACAAGCGCTCAGAGCAGCCGCTCCATCGGGTGACCCTGGGGAGTTTCACCCTGAGCTCTGCCCTTCTAGAAGCGGAAAGAATGTTCGCCTCCTGGGCTAGCAGCAGGGCGAAGGGGGAGCGCGCGTGCCCGGCTCTGAAAAGGCACCTCCTTTGCAGTAGATGACAGTTCTCCGTTTTTCCATGAACTCAGCACTTTCTACCTTCCTTCAATGCAAGCCCTTTCTGTGGTTTCTGCTGGTAAGAAACAGGTTCAAGTACTGCCTCCCTGTTCACCAGCCGAGACCATTTGTGTATAAATACCCCAAACAAATCAAACCAGGTGCTGTCCCGTCGGTTCCGACTCATGGAGACCCCATGTGTGGCAGAGCAGAACTGTGCCCCACAGGGCTTTCAGTGGATGATTTTTTGGAAGTAGAATTGCCAGGCCTTTCTTCCGAGGCACCTCTGGGTAGACTCGAACCGCCAACCTTTCCATTAGCAGCAGAGCGCTTAACCGTTTGCACCACCCAGTTGGCTAAGCCTTCCCTGTGGGGATCGGGAGGATTAAATGTGACAGCATGGATGCAGAGCTGATGGTACTGTCGCCGGCACACAGGAAGTGTTCAAAAGTTAGTGAATGAATGAGCTGCGGGTAAGAGCAGGTGTTCTCAGTGGAAAGACTAACAAAGCCAGAGTGGCAGCCAGCTTGTCTTTGTCCCACTTCTCCTCGAGGAAACAGCTACTTCCTGTGAGAGAAACTCAGCCACAAATAAGAGTACCTGAGCTTGGCCTTCTGTACCAGTGGCTCCTGGGCAAAAGTAGAGATTAAATACGCAAGTAATTAATACGCATCTAGTCCCTGGGTGGCACAAATGGTTAACATTTTTGGCTGCTAACCGAAAGGCTGGCGGTTCAAGTCCACCCAGAGGTACGTCGGAAGAAAGGCCTGGTAATCTACTTCTGAAAAATCAGCCACTGAAAACCCTGTGGAGCACAGTTCTACTCTAACGCACGTGGGGGGCGCCATGAGTTGGGGTCGACTTGACAGCTACTGGAGCAGACTCACTACCCAGCCGGGTCCCTGTCTCGTTGAGCCCCCCGAGAAGCTCCCGGGGTGGACACCACTTACCTTCTCGGGGGGCTTCTGCAGGATGGGCAGGTTCTCCTCCAGCTTGTCCAGCCCCTTGTGGGCGTACTCACTGGCAGACGCAACTGCAGGAGATGGGGCAAGCCAGAAATGCGGTGGTTATTTCCCCGTTTCTGCCCACTCCACACGTGGGCAACCCTCGGGGGCCTGGGTGAGCTCGGCCAGGGCTGGTGTGAGGGAGCAGAACCCCAAAAGCGCTGGGTGGGCAGGCTTGGGGTTCTGTGGGCTTTGCTCACGTTGTGGCTCCAGCTTGGAGAGGATGGGCTGGGCCCCACTGACGGCGGCCGCCGTGAGGGTCTTCACGCCCTTCTCGGCCACGTCGCAGACAGACTTGATGTGGGGGTAGTTCTCCTTGGTGGAGGCATATGCCGCGGACACCATGTCACAGGTGGAACTGATGAGAGGCATGTTGGCCACACGGTCCACCACACTGGGCTGGGGAGGAGAAAGACGCTCCGATGGACTGCGTCGGGGGGCACCTGGGCTTTGCTTTTAATCCTGGCCAGCAAAACGTCTCAGCTCATCCCCACTTTACAGCCAGGCAGTTGTGTAAGCCAGGAACTTTGGGGTTCCCCACATTTCCCCCACCCTCACTCTGTAGCTCATTTCTTTGGAAGTGGACTTCACATCTATTGTGTGCCAGGCGGAGGCCCTGGGTGGTACAATCAGTTAATGCACTCGGCTGTTAACCCAAAGGCTGGCAGTTCGAGTCCACCCAGAGGCACCTCAGAAGCAAGGCCTGGCGATCTACTTCCCAAAAATCAGCCACTGAAAACCCTGTGGAGCACACTTCTACTCTGACACACATGGGGTCACCATGAGTCAGGGTTGACTCGATAGAGTCGAGGATCTTCAAAGAGAGGGAAGATTCAGCTCCAGGGAGATGGCTAGTTTCACACGGAGCCCTGACCCCTCCCTGCCTACCAGGAGCCTTTGAGAGTCCCAGCCTTCCTGCCCCCACTGGGGCAACTTTAGTGGCTATAGGATGGTGATTTCTCCCCCATCCACTCCGAAAAGGCCTCCCCAGCCCCATGCAGCTGCCGGCAGTCCCTGGCTCCTTGCCATGGTGTGGGAAGCCTTATGAGACACAGTCACGGGGCAGGGGGGCTGTCCGTGGTTCCACCCCTCCCTCACCTGCTGTACCGGTTCTTCTGCAGTCATGTGGCCGCTGGCAGTGGCCTCTGTCCCGTTGGCAGCCATGGCCTGGGCGGCAGGCACTGGGGACAGAGGGTACAATCAAGAGTACAATCAGCCCTGTCCCTCCCTCCAGGAGAAAGTCTAAGCCCACGCCGACAGCTCGGGGACAGAGGGCGGCTTGGCTGGACTTACACCTGCCCTCTGACGCCCCACTTCTTGGAGCTGTACCTCTCAAACGGTAACACGTACAGGAGCCACCTGGGGATCTAGTTACAGGACGGGTGCTGATTCAGCAGGGGCTGGGCGGGCAGGCTGGAGTTTCTATTGCTTTTTGTTTTTGATTTAAGCTTTTTTTTTTTTATTAGAGCATAAATTTATGACAGTTACTTGAGCAAGAGCTCAACTTACTCATTTTTTTGCATATTTTTCCTTCTTTATTTTTTTAATTCTTACCTTTTTTTTATTGTTGTAGTTTAAATGAAAGGTTACAATTCAAGTTAGTCTCTCATACAAAAATTTATACGTACATTGTTATGTGACCCTGGTTGCTCTCCCTATACTGTGACAGCACACTCCTCCTTTCCACCCCGGATTTCCCGTGTCCATTCACCCAGCTCCTGACCCTCTCTGCCTTCTCATCTCGCCTCCCGACAGGAGCTGCCCATTTAGTCTCATGTATCTACTTGAGCTAAGAAGCGCACTCTTCACGAGTATCATTTTATGTCCCACAGTCCAGTCTAATCTTTGTCTGAAGAGTTGGCCTCGGGAGTGGTTTTAGTTCTGGGCTGACAGAGAGTCTGGGGGCCATGCTTTCTGGGGTGGGAGCCTCTATTTCTAACACACTCCCAAGTGCTGCTGCTGCTGCCTGGACCCCACCTTGGACCCCAGCAAGGTATGGGAACAGCCCTTCAAGCGCTTACCTATATCGATACTCTGGGGGGACACCTGCTGTACGGAACCTCTGTGGAGGGCAATGTGCCAGTCTATTCTGACTCCTGGCCACCCTGTGTGTGCAGAGTAGAACTGCTCCATTGGGTTTTCAAGGCTGGACTTTTCAGAAGCAGATTGCCAGGCCTTTCTTCTGAGGCGCCTCTGGGTGAGTTTGAACCACCAACCTTCCGGCTAGTAGCCAAGCACTTAAAGTGTTTGCACCATCCAGAGACTCCAGTGTCCCAATAGCTGCCATGTTTTAAAAGACACCTTCTCTTTGATCCAAAAACCTCACTTGGGGAAAGTCCCACACCTGTACTGACTTGTGGGCAGAGATGTGTGTACCTCCATGGCCTGCAAACACAATACTGGGAACAATGTAGATGCCCAACGGAAGAGGCTTAGCCCAGTGCCGTGGCTAACGGATGACACGTACATGTAACTGACATGGACCAGAATCTCTGGCCAGTGCAAACGGTGAATGTGCTCAGCTGTTAATCAAAAGGTTGGAGGTTCGAGTCCACCCAGAGGTGCCTCAGAAGAAAGGCCTGGCGATCTGCTTCTGAAAAGTCAGCCATTGCAAACCCGATGGAGCTCAGCTCTACTCTGACACACATGAGGTCACCATGAGTCAGAGGTGACTCGGGGCAACCGGTTTGACATGGACTAGGTTATTGTTAAGAGACAAAAGGTGCTCACTGGGGCAGAATTAGACTTTCTTTGTCATTGTATAGAATCTTTAAAGGGATACAGCAGACTTGACAGCGGAAGTCTTTTGGAGAGGAGGATTGGGTAGTTGCGGGCACGGGTGGAAGGGAGACTTCTGAGCCATGTGGATAGTACCTATTCAAAAAAGTGGCTGGCATTTTGAACCCACCCAGAGGTGCCTCGGAAGACAGGCCTGGCAATCTACTCCCAAAAGATCACAACCTTGAAAACCCTATAGAGCTGTTCTACTCTGACACACACGGGGTGGCCAAGAGTCAGAATCAACTCGACGGCAACTAACAGCAACAACATTCAAAAAAGAGACACCACGCGTGTACCCGCTGCAGACCGAAAGGAGTGAGACTCGGGCGTGGGGAGGGCGAGGGAGGCTCCCCAACTGAGTCTCACGCTCGCTATAGCAGGTGGGATGGGAGCCCCAGGTGTGCCTCACTTCCTAGCCAGGTGAGATGAGATGGGGACAGCGTGGTCAGAATGGAGTCAAGCCATGAGTCCCGCTCTGCCCATGCTGTGCTACGTGGGACGGGGCAGTTCCCTTCACCTACCATCGATCCTTTCACCTGTAAAATGGGGCTAAAGGTGGTGCCTGCCTCAAAGGCTCACTCCCCAGGTGTTTCTGGCCCGAGTCTGTTGAGAAACCCTGCACTAGACTTCTTTCCAGAGGAAGGAGGCCCAGCCTCCTGCCCACCTTGTTTTGCAGTTCTCCAAGCACAGCCCAGCAAAGTGATGTTTTGAGAACACCGGTTCTAATCCCGGCTTTGCAACTCACTAGCAGGGGGACCTTTCTTCCAAGTCTGTCTTAGTCTGGAAGCTCCGCTGAAATACTGGTGGCATAGCTTCCAGCAAGGAGTCCCTGGGTGGTGCAAACGGTTAAGCACTCAGCTACTAACCAAAATGTTGGCAGTTTGAACCCACCCAGAGGCACCATGGAAGAAAGGCCTGGTGATGTATTTCCGAAAGGTCACATCCATGAAAACCCTATGGAGCAGTTCCACTCTGCAACACGTGGGTCATAAGTTGGAATCAACTAGACGGCAACTGTTTTGTTTTGTTTTTTTAAATATATAATTTATTTTTGTTGTTGCTGAGAATGTACAGAGCAGAACATACATCAGCTCAACAATTTCTCCATGTACAGTTCAGTGACACTGACTGATTGTATTCTTCAAGTTGTGCGACCCTTCTCGCTCTCCTTTTCCAAGCTGTTCCTCCTCCACTAACATAATCTCATTATTCCCAAGGCCCCGGGCCCAGACCCCAAGGACGAAGACAGGATGTAGGCCTTCCCGTGGCCCAACCCTGTGGCCACACCCACCCAGGAAGGGGCCCTGCCCAAGACCTCTCCAGGGTCCGCTGGGAGGTCAGAAGGTGGGACCCAGAAGATGGGTTCCTATCTAATCTTTCAAGTTGCTGTTGTCAATTTGATCCCATACAGCTACCTCTTCAAAGAGTATTATGTGCAAGGTGGACATTCTTAATTAGTTAAGCTAAACTATTGTTTGGTTTTAAGAAGACTTCAGGGTTTATTTTTCGGGTTTTTTTGTTTGTTTGTTTTAGCTTCCAGCAACACATAAGCCACTACAGTAAGAGAAACTGACAGACAGGTGGAAGAAAGGCCTGGCGATCTACTCCTGAAAATGAATCACAACAGAATATTGTCTGATCTAGTGCTGGAAGATGAGCCCCCTAGGTTGGAAGGCACTCAAAATACACAGTGGCCGAAACCATAGACTCGAGCAGACCAACAATTGTGAAGATGGTGCAGGACCGGGCAGCGTTTCCTTCTATTGTACTAGGGGCCACCATGATTTGCAGCCGACTCAAGGGCAACTGACAGCAAGCAGTTGGACCTAGGCATTATCCCCTCTCGGAGCCTCGCTTGCCACATCTGTAAAATGGGGATAACTGTTCCTAGCTCAGAGTCCCTGCAGGTTGGAGGAGGCACTGACCCTGGGAGCTTGGAGCCTGGTACATAGTATGGGTGTACTAGGCTCAATCAACAGGACCATTTCACCCCACTCTGGCTTCCACATGCCAAGGGGTGAAGGCAGCCAGGATTGCGCTCCCCACTTGCTACAAAGGCCCCCCCAACCAGGAAGTAGGGTGGGGAGGCACATCTACCTTTGGTAAGCCTCACCTGAGTTCACCTGAGCTCACCTGGAGCAGACACCAGGTGGGCATCCCAGCTCCTGCCTCCACAGACTCAAGTCCCTCTTAGCTCTCAGACGCCCCTTCTCCCTGTCCACCTCTGTCCATCAGCCGTTCCCCCTTCCTGGAACCGTTTCAACCAAGGGCGGCCATTGCTGAAGGCAGCATCCCATTAGAATCCTTGGGGTCAACGACCGCCTTCAGCGGGCTCCAGCTGCCAGAAAAAGTGCTGGGCTTTAGCCCAAGCCAGCTCTCCCGCCTCCACTTTCTCATCTCTCAGAGAGGGGGCGTTCCCGCCCAGAGTCACAGCCGGGGCATGCTAAGACCCAGCTCCAAGAGTTCGAAGACACCAAGGCCCCAGATCCAGACCCCAAGGACGCAGATAAGGGACAGGCCTTCCCACGAGACAGACGCCTTGCACAACCCCGCGGCCTCACCCACCCCGGGAGGGGCGGGGCTGGCCCAAGACCTCTCCAGGGTCACCTGGGGGGCCAGAAGGTGGAACCCGGAGGGGACAGCAAAACTATTTGCAGCGGAGGGGGCTTTGCTTGGCACAGGGGTTGCCCCTGGGGATCCCAGGGGTGTCTGAAGACCCAGGGAGGCCGGAATTCCTGCACAGAAAGAGCTGGGGCGGGGAGAAAGCTTGCCTAAAAACTGCGTTTGCAAAACTCACTTTTTAAAGAGTGTTTGGCTTGGGGCGGGGGATCTAGGCCCCCCTTGATACTGCTACTTCTGGGGGGCTCTCTCGGACCCCCAAAAGTCCCAGGAATTGAGAGTAGAAGGTTTGAAAGCCTACACGCCTGTTATAGAGGTTGGATTTATTTTTTGGAGAGGGGGGTACTTAGCTGGGGACCCCTGCCCAGGCTGCTGATACCAGGAAAAGTCCCCCGGGAGGACGCTGCCCGCCCCTTCCTGCCCTGGGGGGGGGGGCCTGGATTCGGCGGACTTGGCCCCCCGCCTCGATCGAGGCTCCCCCGCCACTCACCACGAACAGCGGGAGGTCTGGGAACAGCGCACACGACTTCAAGGTCCGAAACCCTTTCGGGCCGGCGGGGAGCGGGCTTTTATGCCGCGGGCGGGGCGGGGGCGGGGGTTCCCGGAGTGACCGGCTGGAGGACCAATCGGATTAGGGGGATGCCCGCCGCCGGGTCCCGCCCCTTGCCCGGCCTTCCGCGGGTCCCGGGACGTTACCGCCACTTGGGAAGTCCGGGAAGGGCTGGTGCGTGCGGCTGCTCACGCCCTCCGCGCCGTGTCCCGCCCGGGGAAGCCCCTGCGCCACGCCTGATCCAGCTAGGGGACGCCCCTTCCTCACCCTGGGATCCCCATGGACTTAGCCCTGGCAGGTGAGTGTAATGCGGACGCTCCGCGCGCGTTCTGGGGTCTCCTCCAGGTCCCGCATTTCTCTAGCGGTCAAACATAGGCTGTGAGAGCCCAGGGATACTTGTGTGATGCCCCTCACGCGCGTACACCCTCTCCAGGGGCCCGAGGGTGACTCAGCCCAGGCTGACCCAGCAGCAATATGAGTAACGTTAACCACAAACCAAACCCAAGCGTCCATTCTGACTCATGGGGACCACATGTGTTACAGGATAGAACATCACTCCATAGGATTTTCTTGGCTTGTAATTTTTTCAGAAGCAGATAGCCAGGATTTTCTTCCTCGGTGCCTTGGGTAGGTTCGAACCTCCAACCTTTCAATTAGCAGTCAAGCGAAAACCGTTTGCACCACCCAGGGACCTTACTTTAACCGCAGCAGCGCACATGTGTATCAAGTGCTTCTACCTGCCCTAAGGAGCCCTGATGGTGCAGTGGTTAAGCACTCAGCTGCTGACTGAAAGGTCAGCGGTTCGAACCCACCAGCCATTCTGAGGGAGAAAGATGTAGCGGACTGCTTCCGTAAAGATTCATAGCCTTAAAGCTGTTGTTGTTAGGTGCTGTCGAGTTGGTTCCGACTCATAACAACGCTATGTACAACAGAACGAAACACTGCCCGGTCCTGCACCATCCTCATAATCGTTGTAATGCTTGAGCCCATTGTTGCTGTCACTGTGTCAATCCATCTCCTTGAGGGTCTTCCTTTTCTTCCCTGACCCTCCGCTTTACCAAGCATGATGTCCTTCTCCAGGGACTGATCCCTGCTGGTATCATGTCCAAAGTATGTATATGAGACATAGTATCGCCATCCTTACTTCTAAGGAGCATTCTGGTTGTACTTCTTCCAAGACAGATTTGTTTGTTCTTTTGGCAGTCCATGGTATATTCAACATTCTTTGCCAACACCACAATTCAAAGGCGTCAGTTCTTCTTTGATCTTCGTTATTTGTTGTCCAACTTTTTCATGCATATGAGGCAGTTGAGGCCTTTATGAGGGCCTTAAAGTGAGGGGTCCTAATTTATGGCATAGATAGAATATCAAGCATAACAAAAAACACACAGACTCCAGAAGATGAACTAGATAACTGGAACCTCCTAAAAATTAAATACTTATGTTCTTCGAAAGACTTTTCCAGGAAAGTAAAAAGAGAGCCTAGAGACTGGGGAAAAACCTTTGGCAATGACATATCCGATACAGGTTTAATCTCCAAAATATACCGAAAACTCCAACAACTCAACAATAAAAAGACAAGAAACCTAATCACAAAATGGGTGAAGGACATGAACAGACACTTCACCAAAGAAGACTTTCAGGCAGCCAGCAAATACAGGAAAAGACACTCACAATCATTAGCCATTAAACTTGTTGCCATCGAGGCAATTCCGACTCATAGCAACCCTCAAGGACAGAGTAGAACTGCCCCATAGGGTTTCCAAGGAGCAGCTGGTGGAGTCGAACTGCTGACCTTTTGGTTGGCAGCCATAGCTCTTAACCACCGTGCCACCAGGGCCCCAAAGCAACCACTAGAGAGATGCCAATCAAAACCACAATGAGACACCATCTCACCCCAGCAAGAATGGCACTGATCAAAAATTCAGAAAACAGTTAATGCGGGCAAGGTCGTGGGGAGATTGGAACTCTCATACACTGCTGGTGGGAATGTAAAATGGTATAACCACTATGGAAAATGGTACGGTGCTTCCTTAAAAAGCTAGAAATAGAAATACTATATGATCCAACAATCCCACTCCTAGGAGTATATCCTAGAGAAATAAAAGCCATCACACAAGTACACATATGCACACCCATGTTCATTGCAGCATTGTTCACAATAGGAAGAAGATGGAAACAGCCTCAGTGCCCATCAGTAGATGAATGGATAAACAAATCATGGAATATACACAGTGGAATAAATGATAAAAGACAGTGATGAATCCGTGAAACATGTCACAACATGGATGAATTTGGAGGGTGTCTTAGTCATCTAGTGCTGCTATAACAGAAATACTACAAGTAGATGGCTTTAACAAAGAGAAATTTATTCTCTCACTGTTTAGGAAGCTAGAAGTCCAAATTTAGGGTGCCAGCTCTAGGGGAAGGCTTTCTCTGTCAGCTCTGGGGAAAAGTCCTTGTCATCAATCTTCCCCTGGTCTAGGAGCTTCTCCACACAGGGACCGCAGGTCCAAAGGACGCACTCTGCTCCTGGTGCTGCTTTCTTGGTGGTATGGGGTCCTTCTGTTTCTATGCTCGCTTTTCTCTTTTCTATCTCAAAAGAGATTGACTGAATATACAATCTAATCTTGTAGATTGAGTCCTGCCTCATTAACATAACTGGCTGTAATCCCACCTCATTAACATCATAGAGGTAGGATTTCCAACACATAGGAAAATCACATCAGATGACAAAATGGAGGACAATCACACAGTACTGGGAATCATGGCCTAGCCAATGTGATACACATTTTTGGGAGACACAATTCAATCCATGACAGAGGGCATTATACTGAGAGAAATAAGTAAATCACAGAAGGACAGCTATTATATGAGACGATTATAATAAAAACCCAAGAAAAGGTTTACACACAGAAAAAAACAATCTGATTCTTACAAGGGAGGGGAGAGATGGGGAGGGGAAATCAGTAACTAGATAGCAGACAAGTGTTAGTTTTGGTGAAGGGAAAGACAGTATACAATATAGGGGAAGTCAGCACAACTTGACCAAGCCAAAGGAAGACACTTAGAGGAACATAAAAAAAAAGTGGCGATCACAGTAAATTCTTGTGATTGTTAAGATTGTATGTCAACTTCGCTGGGCCATGATTCTCAGTGGGTTGGCAGTTAAGATGTAGTTTGACAGTTGTATAATGATGTACACACTTCCATGATGAGATTTGATATAATGTGATCACCTCCATGATGGAATCTGCTGTGAGTAGCTGATCAGTTGAAAGGGAGTTTCCTTGGGGGTGTCGCCTGCATCCAACATAGGCAGCCTTTCTAGCAAGGCTTGCAGGCTTTTGCTCCATCTGGATCCTGCGGCTGGCTCCTGTTCGTCTGACCTCTGGGTCTTGGGACTAGCTAGCAATTTACCTACCGTCTTGCCTGCTGATATTGGCATTCGTTGATCTTGGCAGCCTGTGAGCAAGAGCCCTGCTGTGTGACCTACCGGTCTTGGGTTTGCCAGCCCCTGTGGCTACATGAATCAGGAGAAGTCTCCAGCCTGACCCACAGACTTGGGACGTCCCAGCCTTTACAATCGCATGGATCATTTCCTTGATATAAATCTATCTATCTATCTATCTATATTTATTTTATGCTTCACTGGTCTCTAGAGAACTCAGCCTATACAATGTTGTTGTTGTTAGGTGCCATCAAGTCGGTTCTGACTCATAGCGACCCCCTGCACCACAGAACGAAACACTGCCCAGTCCTGCGCCATGCTCACAGTCGTTGTTATGCTTGAGCCCGTTGCTGCAGCCACTGTGTCAATCCATCTCGTTGAGGGTCTTCGTCTTTTTCTCTGACCCTCTACTTTACCAAGCATGATGTCGTTCTCCAGGGACTGATCCCTCCTGACAACATGCTCAAAGTATGTAAGACATAGTCTCGCCATCCTTGCTTCTAAGGAGCATTCTGGTTGTACTTCTTCCAAGACAGAGTTGTTCATTCTCCTGGCAGTCCATGGTATACTCAATATTCTTCGCCAACACCACAATTCAGAGGTGTTAACTCTTCTTCAGTCTTCCTTAGTCATTGTCCAGGTTTCATGTGCATATGATGCGATTGAAAACACCATGGCTTGGGTCAGGCGCACCTTAGTCTTCAAGATGACATCTTTGCTTTTCAACACTTGAAAGAGGTCTTTTGCAGCAGATTTGCCCAATGCAATGGGTCTTTTGATTTCCTGACTGCTGCTTTCATGGGTGTTGATTGTGGATCCAAGTAAAATGAAATCCTTGACAACGTCAACCTTTTCTCCGTTTATCACGATGTTGCTTATTGGTCCAGTTGTGAGGAGTTTTGTTTTCTTTCTGTTGAGGTGTAATCCATACTGAAGGCTGTGGTCTTTGATCTTCAACAGTAAGTGCTTCAAGTCCTCTTCACTTTCAGCAGCCAAGGTTGTGTGACCTGTATAACGCAGGTTGTTAATGAGTCTTCCTCCAATCCTGATGCTGTGTTCTTCTTCACATAGGCCAGGTTCTTGGATTATTTGCTCAGCAGACAGAATGAATAAGTAGGGTGAAGGACTGCAACCCTGACACACACCCTCCTGATTTAAAACCAGGAATAAACTATAAAGAGATAAAAATTTCAAATTTGCAGCAGGCCTTTTCTTCCTCTGACTCCTGGATCAACCCCTTCCTGAGTCTGCTGTCACTTAGATTCTACTTTTTCCTCCAAAATATTTGTTATCCTCCTGGTCTATAAACTGTCTTTATCGTGCTCCTACTGCATGCTGGGCCTTGTACTGGGCACTGGAGAAATAGCAGTGAGCAAAACAGACAGCCGTGTTGGTGCTGTGGCCCTCACCACCCAGTGGGGAATTGGGGATGTAGACACGATAAACAAGCGAAATGTGTAGTGATCAGGTGTGTAAGTGCTGCAGAGAAAAGTAAAGCTGGGGTTGAGATCAGGAATATGGGATCTGCCATTTTTCA